CTATTACAGCGCTCAGGAACCATCCAGGAGACATAATCATGATTATCCTTTGCCTACAAGTGGAAACGCCGTAGAGCCTTTCGATGATTCGGCGACTCGGCAATATTTGGCACGGATTATAGTAAATGTTAGTTGGCTGGTTGCTTCTTGGCATTTGTTGACCGAAACCGATGTACTGTAGACAAGAAGCTGGAACAGTTTTTCCACGACATCGGCTAACTAACCAAAAAACAAAAAAAGAGGAACTCTGACCCGTTACCGGACTGTCGCACATGCGCAAAGGTCAATTATATAGCATATGTAAAGTTGCGGGCACTCACGTCCATACAGGCATAGAGGGTACAGATATTGTATTTGCTCTATTCGCAGACGAGGTCCTATCCACACCTAAACGTAAGTACGTACTCGACACGAGATTATGACCAGTTATCTTAGTGACATCATTCTTTATGGAGCGAAAAATCATTGTCATGCCAATCTATTCTGTCTGGCCCAACGGCACCGTACAACTTTTACCTACATAGACACACGTATAGTAGGACGGCCGTACAAACATTATATCTACATAAATGTAAATAACCCGGCGTACGTACAGTGATAATATAGCTATGATTCGTCATGGTGTGATGCAATTGTAATATGCAGTGACATCATTACGGATGCCCAGGACACCGCAGGCTCTTCACGCCTGCGTGAATCATAGAACAGCCAGCTTCAACCTGACTAAATACAAATGACAATGAGTTAATTTGGTTTTTGGAAGTAAAGATCAGCCCAGCGAATATGTGTACTCCTTTTTTTATGGCGATTGTGCGATGTTTGAAACAACCTTAACCCATATACGAGTTGTTTACTTTTAGCTATTGATTATAGTGCTCGACTTCACCTGTGGATCTGTGGCCAGAAATTATTCCCTTATATACGCTAACTCAGTAATGTATTGTCCTACCTTCAAGTTAACCCATAACCGGCGAATACTCACCACAAGCATCGCAATGGCGCTTAATGCAATATAAGTAAGGCTCAAGGTAAAGGTCAGGAAGCTTAAGACTATTTAGTTTAAAGGACAGGGTCGAAGTTTCGTACTCAAAATGGAATTTACCTCGTTAACAACTCTATAGGAGCAGCATGGATATATAAAGCTTTTTTCCAGTATAGTTTGTCGTGAAAAAATCGAGCTTACTTATTAGCTCTTAAAAACTTACTTATTAGAAAATTGAGGCTAGAATTATCGAGCAGAAGCTGCACCGTTTGGACTCGCCTTGCACAGACTCTACAAACCCTAGTATAATACCTTCCAACGATGATCCCCAGCCGTCCTTTTGCATGGCTAATTTAATAATTTGCTTAGCTCAGTAAACATCCTACCCGAATAAAAGGACACGATATTGTCGATTCCTTTCCTAGGTTAATGGTGGCCACGTGGCTTTGACGGCGGACTATGTAATCTCTGGCAAACTGTTCACGAGAAAAATTCCAATCAATAACATATTGTTCGGCGTTTCACTGCAACGATCGTAAATTTCGATTAATCGTGATTTTTGTAAAAAATTACAATTACGTTTCAACTTATGTATGTAAGTGTATAAGACAAAGACTGTTTCGACTGACCTTTCCTCGAACCCAGCTCCTCGAACCCAGCTCCTCGAACCGAGTCAACCCGAATACTTGCCACGGGCTATTGCGCGACCAGGTAGACCAGCTCAACACAACGTACCGCTGAACTCTAAAATCTACATGTAGAGTCAGAAGTTTCAGCCATATATATTGGACCTACACCTGTTTACAAGATAACACTGGATCTCTGCTACCGCGTACCGGTGCAATAACTTCTTACGCACTTAGACAAATTAAAGCAGAATTAAAATACATACGCAAAATTTCTATAGGCCAGCTTCGCGCAGATAGTTCTTCATGTTTACCCCACGACAACTATTTATTAATAAAGACGTATAATTAACCATGTCACTCACAATGCATCAACATACTAATCGATAATACATAAAAATTCAATACGACGTTGACTCTAAAAGAATCACGGGATGCACCGTTTCTCCGGTACATCAGACGTGATTCTTCGCGCTGGGCTATTTCGCTCTATGATGAAACTGTAGATTTCTAGTGAACTGTACTTTCAGCCACGACCGTTCAAATACCAATACGTGTCTTACCGGCCGTGTGTATGCGTGTACTCAAAAGAATATGGCCGAGCTTTCGAAAGAGGGTTTGTCATTAGTAGTAGCGGAAGATTAAAAATATTTCATTTTAAAATACCAGCGGGCAATCATATTTTAAGATTATTTTTGGACAAATGAAAGACCAAAATGAAATCTCGTAGGTAATGCCAGAGTTGACACAAAATAGGGCGGCATACAAGGCAGCGATTGAACCAGTCCTATGAAGCCAGGCTACTTAAGCTGGACTTTACGGAAGGTATTTTCCGGTGGGGTATTTGCTGGGGCTGGTGGCGCACACAGTGCTTCTGTCCTGCAACTGCTACCGATGCAGCTGTCGTGGCCTTTTCCGAAACAGCTTGCGCAAATAGCATGAATAATAGTCTTTGTCGAAATAGTGAAGGCGGCGACAGGTCCTATTAAAGTCCCTTTCAGCCACGTTTTCCTTCTCTACACAGGCATCAGCAGATTTCTTAACAGTTTGGTTTTTTTCAACCTCACTCGAGTGTCATGCGTCACTCGCTGGTTGAAGCTTGTTGAGACAGCGATGAGCGCTTTCATTTCAGCAGAGTCTCAAAGCCTATGCACTCTACCACTTCTCCAACACCCCGTTTTCGTGCTAGCTTCATCCCACTATACTGTTGCCTTGACGAGCTGAGCACACGAAGTGCTTTTGCTGTCCTGGTTTCCCGCACTTGTACGCTTTAGCACGCTTTATTTAGTCAGTCGCGAAATCCACGACGAAACAATCACACAATGGCAGTAGTAGCAGTTACAGCTCCCAATAGGTAAATGAGGTCGGTAGCTGAAGGCATGAGCGCTTTTACCGCACTCCAAAGCGGCGTCGGCAACGAACGACATCTAATGGCAGTTTAACTTATTCTTTCTACCCTTCCTTTTTCTCTCTATTTCTTCGGAACGCTGCCTCATGGGGTACTGCTGAGGATGGATCCATCGCAAATGAATGCCTATCTTGCATAAATCTGCTAAGGGCAAAGTAGGCGGTGCTTTTCACCTACACGTAGCCCGAAAACAAACTAGAACGGAACATATGCGGTATTCAACTAACAGAAGGTAGCTAGGTTTATTGTGACGTGGCTGGTACTGATTACCCTATTATATTTGCTGTACTTAATGCTGTTATGCTAGATTTTTATTAGGACGTATAAGTTAGTTAGTTCCTGATTTAATTAGTGAAAGAAAATAAAAACAATCCATTTCTTATTTATGGTTTATATATTTATCTACAATTTATTTACGGTTGGAGTAGAGACGCAGATGGCTAGAAATAGGAAGTGCATACGTTTCTTTTAGAAGAGTCTCTCATTATGACGCAGTTATGTGATACGTGCAGAAAACGCTAGTAAATTCCGTTTATAAGTTGTCGCGTATAAATAAAAAAAACGGAATCTCTTTCAAGCGGTTAGAATGCACGGATCGAACTGTTCTATGATTTCCTAACTTATCTGTTTGCGTTCAGTTGTATGGGCAGCTTTTTAACATTATATGTTCCTCCACGGGGTTGCAACTATTCGATTTTTTGTGCAAATCATGCAACATTTATCAAGATGGATTTTTTTTATTGAGGACGTTGCTAACACTTATTGAGTGTAAAGCATTATATCTGCCGCAGATCTTTGCTTGGAAAACAAGGAATCGCCATAGAAATTATGAATCAATAAAGACCCGAAAACTTATGCAACTGCTAAATCTGGGCCAGCAACGACATTAAGAGACGCTCTCTGTAAAGAACTGTACAATGAACGCACGTTAATATAATAATAACTTTCATTTGCGACGTTGGAAAAAAACAAGCGAAGTGAAGTTTTTGCGATAGCTATAAAGCTTTGTAAAAACGCCAGGATCCTTGAGCGAATCTGTGCCAAAAACTTATCAAAAAGGCTAGCTTCGCTTAATCACAGGTACGAGTGCTATATATATCGTTCTAATTACCACTCATCATTGAAAGGTCGCTGGTTCGAACCTAGCAGCATATATATAGCAGCGTATTTGTGGTCACCAACCTTTTCAGGGCCGAACACCACTGACAGTTGGTCTTTTTTTACGGAACTGAGTTCATTCGTTTTTTAGCAATCCAGTTCCTATACTGGCCCACCTAGATTTGCAGACTGGGCGCCCGACATCGACGCGTACTACGGTAGTAATCGTCGATCTAATCTAATGTAGTGGATAAATGTAGTCCCTTTTGTTGTTGCGTGGCATACATCCTCGTCCAAAGGTAGCGTGTATTTTGTTTATGTTGGCCTACTTATTTGTTGATTAATGCTAATTAGTTGAAAGTAATGCTGTCCTTGTTGGTCATTTCCTCAGTGGATTGACCCATGCTTCATTTAATGATAGACAGAGGATCGCGTTCCCGTTAATCGCTACGAACAGAATATGAGTCAATATTTAACGTTCAATTTAGCCTCGATCCAGCTTTGTACGGAAATTATATATATGTCTAGCATGCTGAGTATCTCACGGGATCAGACATTGTATGAGCTCGTTCATTTTTGATTCCTAAAAACTTTCAAGAAGCTCAAATCGACTCGCAGCATGTCCCCAATACTCTTCAACAATAGACCTAACTGACTTTAGCTTGGGGCCAGCGTATAGCGTATACCTGTACTTTCGTGCGTGTTGCGAAGTCCCCTACCGAATGTGAGCCCCCAACGTGGAATAGGCATTAAAAGTCATCCTGTACAAATTTATTTATATTTATTTACTTGAGAATATTGCCTGCTACACGTTTTCATCTACCTTCGATACCTACGCGGATATCTGCAAACAGCGAAGAGTTGCATTTTTTGCTAGTTATCGGCTATACTTACCGACTTGGCCAGCGCTCCTGTTTTGAATCACTGAGTGTTCGTAACGACGAGGTGTGGCAAAGTTGAAACTCGTCTGATTAAAGGACCCCGCTCCCCAGTCGATAAAAATAGAACCTATTAAAATCAACATTGAACAATACCGATAATAATAATATTCGTGATTCCAGAACTTACTATATCTGACGTTGTGAGTGATGAGAGGATTTAACTGGTTATATAACCACTACTCGGCCGCATTTGCGCCGGGAATCAAGAATGCCACGTATAACGTAGGGCCGTTGCAAGAGAATGTTGATTGGAAGCCGCTCGATCTTACCTTTGTACAGTATCCTAGAGGAAATTGCGTGGGGGAATTTTTGGCATTCGTTTCCTTAAGCCCACTAATTACAATAGTGTCGTTATTGACGCTGATAGCATCTCGAAGAGATCTGCACACAATCGCGTTAATGCTGGGCATAACACTTAATTGTTGCCTAAACGTGCTTCTAAAGCACATTTGGAAAGAACCACGGCCGACGGCAGTCCCCCCACGAAAAGAATCAATTTTTTCGACCTATGGAATGCCGTCGGAGCACTCGCAGTTCATGTGGTTCTTTGCGATCTATCTGATGTTATTTATAAGGGTCCGAGTGCATCGTAGATCAGATTCAAGCACGGACTCAATCATTAAGGAATTGCTTCTAATTAGTGCATGTATCCTGTGGGCCTATACAGTCGGTGTGGCCCGTGTGTACCTCGATTATAACACATCGATTCAAGTCCTGATTGGAGGAGGAATCGGAGCTGTCATGGGATGTATATGGTTCGCTATCACTCACCTGTTGCTAACCAGGCTATTCCCCAGTATGTGCTCATGGCAGATTTGCAAGTTTCTGTTGCTGCGGGATATGACGAGTATTCCAAATGTGACAGTCTTCGAATATAATTGCGCTCAAAAAGCCAGTGAAATGGCGAAATCGTATAACAGCAAATACGCGCGATATAATGAAACGGCGAAACTCAAGAGATCATAACGAAGGACCACGACGTCCCGAGTAAGGTAGCACGAAAATAGAAGTATAATTCAAATATATAAATACTCCGAAGAAGCAAGACAAACCGGTATCCCTTCATGCAGACCTGTTTGGCAGTCCTAACCCACTTTGTTAGCCATAAATGTAGGTCCAATGAAACGCATGGAGAGCATATTTGAGAGAGTGCTGTCCTAACACATTCCGTCGGAGAAGTTTTGTCATATGAATTCGAAGGTCGTTAATGTGGAACAAAATTTAAAATCTGATTAGTAGCCTCTGATTAGTACCCCCTGATTAGAAAAAGTAATAAAATTAAAAATAAAAAGCAAAAAAAATGTTCGAAATGCGTTAGCAAACAATGATATTGAAACTGAAACAACGACTGGGATGGTTTTAGCCAACGTACGAGCGAACTAGGTCATCGTTTGTAAGGCTACTCCACTGTTCTGAGCAGCCATATGTTGCTATTAAAATACAATGATAGAGAAAATAATTTTTAATAAAAAAAAATTAATAAAAACAAATATTAATAAATCTTAGTGGAGTGTCATCATGAAAAATGTTTACTGCATCTGGTCTATCTTCCGTTGCATTGGCAACGAGCTTTATATATATATTGAACAAAAGATTTTCAATTTACGTGACAATGAAGAATAGCGTAGAGTAGTTTTGTGTAGCTTACTGTATTACGTGTACGTCTTCAGTTTTATTATAGAAAACGAAATACTCGTGTAACCGCTTCCTGATTTGTGAAACGAGTGTCGTTCGATAAACTATATTGATCTTAAAGGCACTTCATATCTCGCCAGGCTGATCTTGACAAGGGCTTTTTCGTTTTTAACGGATAAGTCACGACGCTTGCATAAATGGTAATAGATATTACATGTCACATATGTACCGACTATAACCTAAGACAACCTACCGTATAGGTAAAATACTAGAAGTGCCTAACTTTAAATTCTAGTACACGCTTCAAAACCAGTCCTAGCAAATATGATTAAAATACATATTGTTTCGTATAGAAATCCCTTAGTGCAACTCTAGGCAATATAAGTAAGCAAACCACTGTATTGTTATTACAGCGTTGAGAGGCTTCACTCGTTAAACAATAGGATATTCCAGGAGAACACGCCATAAGTACCATTGGCTCAAGGAAAGGAACTCCTAACCGTGCCCTGTGAAAACAGAAAAGGGCTGAGTTACGAACGCTCAACCAAAAGTGAACTATTTAGCGTCTCTTCGCGTGGCTTTAGCTGATTTTCTATCGTTTCGTTGTCTATATATTTGTGTCAGGACACTCCAGGCCACCAGACAGCATTCATACTATACCAAGATGTTGTGAAGAGTTGTACTAACATAACGAGGCCGTGAGCGATATAAGCATCATGTATATTTCAGAAGTACACGCATTGCGGTTGTCCAACGGAACGAAGTCGCTGCATTTATTGCTTGAAGACCACCACGTTCTTGTTTCACCCTCCAATTTCCCGATACGCGCACATCAAAGGCTAGCTTGCGGTTTCCTGAGCCTGTTGACTGACAGGTTGTGGTGGTTTCCTAGGGTTACGTAAAGTTGCCGCCTAAACGTGCTTCCAATCAGGAAGACAACGTAGATTGAAAGATGGCTTCCAGAACCACCGAATTACCACCGGTGAGTTCACGTCCAAGAAGTGCTTAGCTGTGCTGGTAAGACTACAGGCGGCCCCTGGTTTGTATTTTCTAGTTCCTCGACGCCGTCTAAGACGAATCCGAAGAGAAAAATCCACTCGCAGCCAAGCTTCGGCCACGGTTCCTGAACGCGAGAAATCGGCGTAGTGCCAACACAGAGTTCAGCACCCGGTTGGCTCAGGGGGCTTAACTTAGTGGGCATTACACGATGGAATCTGGGTGTTTTGTTCTCGGAAACCATCTACGAGTTGGGTTTGTAACCTGCAGCCGAGTTCGTTTATAGCTCACGTTTACTGCTGAACGTAGCAAAGCGACAAGCAAAAACGCCGGAATCGTCAGAGCTATCGATAACGGCAGCAATCGGCGACGGAGTTCCAAGCATTGACTTATGCAGGGTGAAATATACGCCGGACAGCCACGAAAAGGATTTGGTGAACGCCAGAGTACTGAAGAGGACTGTGAATAAACGGGTGGACGTCGGTGTTGACGCAGCAACAGTCATTGTGCTGGTCTCTGGGGTCGTCGTCGCGGCGAGTCTCAATCCACATGAACTAACCGTTACAAACGAACAAAATGACTGGATCTGTTCAGGAAAACACTGTGTGTGTCGCGCAACGGTGATAAGCAATATAGCGCGATATGTTTTGGGAATGTCTGTGGGGGGAACCTCGCTCTTCTTTTTGTTTAGAGCATGCAAGTTTGTGCCTCGGAAAACATTAGCGGATAGTGACATTAGACGCGCGATGAGAACGTTGCCTTATTGAATTTAGAAGTAAATGCCTAGAGGATTTGTCAGCTTTGACATCCTTTCCGTCAAAAGAGGTTACCAGTAATTAGGCTAATCATTGTGAATTGTCTTACCGTGTGGTATAAGGCATCGCCATATGGATCAATCATTAGATCGAAACTGCAATAATCGTTACGTACTATCTAAATCAGTTTTGATATGCCATATTGAACGCCTAAATACTACCAAAGCCTTAGGTATACTTTTAGGATCTAATGAATGCTTTTAATTAATTAGATTAATTTAAAGACTCCGATAACTATAAACTTCGGTATCGTATAGAGCGAAAAAAATGCTCCAGATTTGATTCCCAACCAAAAAATTGATTTTCGTTCATACTGAAGATATGTATATAGAGTCAGGTCAGTGGGCCTGTGACGGTCTCTACACGTTCCCACAACTGCCAATTGATTTATCAGCTTGAATTCGCTTTAGCTTCTATATATTTTTTGCCTTAGCGATACGGAACCCAAATAGGCTGGATAGCTATAGCCGAAATCATATTAGGAATTCATTATAGTTAAAAAAAAAAAAAAAAAAAAAGGTGTAAATCCACGGTAAACTTATTTTTGCCGGAAATTCCGTATTTTATCAATAGAGCTATCAGCACGAATTCAATCATAAAGATAGCTGAAACTACTGCTAAAGTGGAAATAACAAGAACTCGCTAAAAAGCACTTAGCCAACCGTCTTCTTATGCGTTAAGTTACGTTTGTTCCATATAGCCCGTCATTTTCCTTGAGCCAAGAACGAGACGAAATTCACATCCAAGATAAGCGATATGGTCGTTTCGTTATTGGCTAACAAAGATGAACAAAATTGTATAATTGTAGACAAATATGCACTGCATTTGTCGCAAGCTTTGAACTGATAAGTACTCTATCTCCGAACGTCACTATTCTTGCGTATAACTTTTCGAAGATAGCTATCAGAAACGTGGCCGACTAGTTTTTTCAACTTTGTTGTAATGTACATAAGTTTGGCCGTGGGCTCATTATCATCGCCACCTTAAGACGAAATTTTTGGCCGAGTGGTGTGAGCTAATTTTTGTTAAGCTCTAGAATGTATCTCAACGGATGTATGATCGGCTAGAGCCTGTGTTGCCGAAAAAGTAGGACACTAGCAGTCTTACCTAGCTCCAAGGTAAGAGATGTTTTTGTAGGGCAAAGCAGTCCTCGCTAGCAGGGTTTATATTTACGGTTATATTAATAAGAGACCGGGCGGATTGGAGGAACTGAAGCGTTTCTAAGCTTAAAACGCCTTAACGCTTTGTACTTTTTAAAAGCAATAACAACGTAAAAACATCGCTTGTTGTTAGCCTTATAAGTCAGGATCTGAAGAGCTAGATACTTAAGTAACTGTATACTGTGAGCTATATTCGGTGTTTTCACTGACTCTATTTTCAAGAAATAGTAACTTAATTCAAATGTTTCCTTAAAAGACTTTGGCAGGTTTTAATATACTTGTTCAGTAACCTTTTACCGAGTTCAAAGATTCAGATGCTCTTTGTTTATATGGACGCATATGGTTATATATAGCAACAACAATTCTTATTTTTCGGCGTTGAGCAAAATATATCTTGTCCTTTCAAGCTGTAGGAAGAACTGATCTTGTTAAAAGGCCCGGGCGCCCCCTTTGCCTTACAATGCAGATAAGAGGATTTCGTTGCCTTCCTCAGCCTCTGTATCTTTTACTCTGTAAGGCCTAGCAGCTAAGTGGATCTATTTTAGGTGCAAGTCTTTATCATGTCAATACGTAAAGTTTAATATATAAATGTATCTCGCATCTTGCTAGCCAATTTTTTCTTCCCACCTACTTTGTTTTCTTTTGTGCGTCTTATTAGACGGTCTACGTTAGGCAGCCTAGCAGAAGTTCGGGAAAAATATTCAAAGTATGGAAGCAGGCTGCAAGCATAAAACTATTGCAATTTTGCATTTAGAATAATTTTCATCGTGGGCGAGTAGTTAATTTAAAGCTCCAGCCACGTGTAAAGGGTCCATAGCAGCTTCTATCACACCTGCTGATATGTTACAATAGCATTTGTCACGACTCAAACAGCTGATAGCGGTTAAGGATCATTCTTTGCTAAAGGTTTAAGCGAAGTGAGAACTGTGGTCCTTCTTGGTGTGAAGGGACTACATTTCTCATAGAAACATAGTCTCTTTTGTGGGTACGGTAGATTGCTATTCTTAATTTGACCCTATCGTTGATTGCGGGACTGAAGGGATACAAAGGTGATCACAACAAATTCGAACGCAAAATTAAGCCACGTTTAGGTTTTCAATTTTGAGCCTATGTTTGTGTGTCAATGTGGAAGAGTATGAAAATGGCCGGATCGATCTCTTGTTTGCGAAAAGAGTAACCCAGTAAAAAGCCATGCTGGAATAACCTAATATAAAGAGAATCACATGACTTGCAGTCCTTAAAAAGAAAAATACGTTAGACAATCAGAAATATTCACAATGATGAAGTACAACTTATCTGAGTATTTTTTGCCACAAATTAATTTACACTTAGTTTTGTTTTTCTCGTAGTTTTATTCCATGTTCTTGATGACCGCTCTCATAAAAATATGCTTATACCTGTTTGATGTCATTTAGGGCCATTAGCAGGAATCAGCACAGCCTGCTGCGTCAACTAGACTAAGTATGGTGGTTCATAGGGCAAAAAAAATAGCTCAACTCATCCCGAAGCATATGCCCCAGATACGCATGGCGTGAAATAATTTATCTCTGTATGTGCTTTTGCTGCAGCAGAAGCAACAGAAGGAGCAAACGGGAAGCAATCGATTTGGCGCAAACTTCCAGACCAGAAGGCATGATATTTACCATTGTCTATTTTGCTTTGTAGGGCGCTCTAGTCTCCGATCCGACAGACCCTTTGAGTGCTGCCCTATCTTCGGTCCTCTGAATGCATTTTGTATAGAACTCTTGCGCAGAACGATTATGATAAAATGCTTCTTTTGATAAGCCAATATTGAAGAAATGCAGTCCTTGTAGATACGAGTTCCTTATGCGATGAAAACACTTAAACAGCGGAAACCCACCAATAGCGCTGACCACAGATTG